ATTTTTTTTTTTTTTTTTTTTTGTAATGATTAGTTAACGGGTACTAGGAGGGCACAATTCTAATAATTTAGATACTGGACTTGTAATATGATCGAAAGGATAAACAAGAACGGTGAGGCTAAAATGGGAAGAAACCCTTAAACGAAGAACAGAAGTTGCACGGGTTGAAAATAGAATGAGAAAAGACGAGTTTCTTCTCTCTTTTATTTCGAACTTTTAACTATGATTAATAGAAAATGTTATGTTATAATGAGTATAACTCAATAGCAGTTGACATATATTATACCATCCCACGTCGAGTGAGACGGGAAATGAATAATTCTTTATAAGAGTGTGGAAACCTCTCTGTAATGGGTATGTTTAAAACGGTGAGGCTGACAACGATACATAACGAGCAAAAGTAGACCATATATGCTGGGTTTGGGCTGCTACAAACGGAATTAGAGCCAGACACCGGGGCAAAAAGCAGACAATGAGTCCTAGATGGGTGAATTGTGAGATCCTACATCGGTTGAAGAAGGGGAACGAAACATTCGTTATAAGGGTGTGGAAACTTTTCCATAATAAACGCGTTTTAAAATCATGAGACTGACGGTGATACGTAACGCGTCAAAGCAAACAATATATGCTAAAGATGAGTTTGAGCTGTTATATATATGATCGACCAAGAGGAAAAAGACTCGAATCCTTGTTGTTGAGGTAAAATTAAAGTAACGGGTCAACGGGGGCAATGGGCACGAAAGGTTATAACATAATGGAGCACGGAAACAAGGACGAGGAGGCTAAAAGGGGAGAAACCCTAAAATGAAGACGCCCGGAAGAAGTGGAGAGAGAGAGGGGGAGGTGACAAAGGGAGAGGACGAGACAAGCTACAGATTTCAACGCTTTTCTTTCACTTTCTTCTTGAAAATTGTGTGTTCTCTAAACAAAACAAAAACAAACAGAGAAAGCAACAACACGTAAATGTCAAATCCCTCACACCTCAATTATCATATAATTATATCATCTCCACCCTCTCCTTTATTTATTTATTTATTTACTCTTTTTTTTTAAAAAAAAAAAAACAAAATAAATCAACAATTTACATTACGATCTCTAAGGTCAACCCACGAGTCAAAACGAAATAAACGTTAACAAGCATACAGAACTGTGAAATCTCATATTGATTGGAGAGAAGAACAAAATATTTTTTTTTTATAACAGATGCATTTTAAAAGCGTAAAGAGCACAATATTTACTAGCGGTGGGCTTGGGCCGTTACAAGAACAACCAATGATCTTCATGGAGAAGCAACATTTAGCAAACATATGATTATGTGATCTGAGATTATTGATAGAAGGCATGAGCTTGATGGATATGTTCCGTAAATAACTGTACACTTGACTGCTCTTTGCAAACATTTGCATGTACTAAGATGGCAAATCCCGGCTAGCTTCATGACCCAAGAAGGAACTTGAGCTGGAGAGATGCCCCATGAGAGCATCTCGCCCCGAATTGACCTGTTGAAGAGGAAATAGAAGAAAAAAATGCAAGCACAAGACTCGATAACCTCACTAAAAAGAACATATGTTCCGTAAATAACTGTACACTTGACTGCTCTTCGCAAACGTTTGCATGTACTAAGATGGCAAATCCCGGCTAGCTCCATGACCCAAGAAAGAACTTGAGCTGGAGAGATGCCCCATGAGAGCATCTCGCCCCGAATTGACCCGTTGAAGAGGAAATAGAAGAAAAAAAAATATATGCACAAGACTCGATAACTTCACTAAAAAGAAAATAATGTCAAAATTAATCCGTTAATATTTTTCTCTTTTTCTTGGGTAGGTATTAGTTGATATCTTGTATTTTATTTAAACTTGTGAATATCAATAAAGATTGAACCTTCCATTCCAATTTTATTTTTCATTATTAAATCTGTATTCTTTTAATAATATTTTTATATGTATTTATTTTAACAAATTTAGTATTAAAATAAAATAATTTAACAATTTTTTTAGTACAAAAATCGCGGGGTGAAATATGGGAGAATATATACTTCAAATATGTTAAATCGGGTCGGGTTCGAGTAAGTTTGAATCCATAACAGAGGTCAAGTACCCGTTTTCTTGTCCGGGTCATTGAAGAAGAGCGGAGTTTCACGCATTAGCTCTGGACTTTGAAGGATCATACCACGAAGGTTGTTCAGTTCAGGAAGCGAATCAGACGGAAGTTTCGAGAAGATGCCGGTCATGGAGAAGCTGAAGATGTTCGTAGTTCAAGAGCCTGTGGTGACTGCATCGTGTATCATCGGTGGAATTGGTACTCTTTCCTGTTTAAAAGCCCTAAGTTTTGTTCAATTTTTTCTATTTTCTTTTGATCGATGGGATTAAATCGTATACTTGTTTTATTTTTCGCTCAGATCTATCTATGGGGAACAGCATATATTTAAATGTTTTTTTTTTTGGGAATTCTGTATAATCTAGGATCGAAGAAACAATCACGATTGCAAACTCCTTATTTGACTAAATAGATTTTCGTATTTGAATCCTTTTGGTCGGATGCAGTTTTTCCAGTAAATAATTTGATTCTATGTTGGTATTTATTGGTTTAAACACATATAAGTGTTCGAGATTGGAGTTTTAAACTTCCATTCAAGCTGTGGCAATGAACTTCTGCAATGTGTTTCAATTCCTGGTTTTTGAGGCGTCTCTATTTTCATCCAAGCATGCTAACTAAGCGAGGTTGGAACTTGATCAAGATTCCTAGTAGTTTAGTTATTAAAGTTCTAAGAGGGAAGCATTGTAAGAATGGAAAACTTATCCTCGAGTAATGGTGGTTGTAGGTTAACCATTCCCACATCTGCAAAGTGTATTTTGGGGGAGAACTTTTAAAGAAGAGGATTATATTGAAATTGGGAATTAAATGTTAGTTGACATGGCCTCTAACCATTGGCTTTCTAGTGCTGTTAATGCAATTTTTTCCTTTGCCCCTCCTGGCTAGTGTTTTGGAGGGCATGAAGTTAGGACTTAAGCTAGAGGCACAAAAAAGGTGAGAGCTTTTGCGAGGTGAAACCACAATTTGTGTATAAGATCCCTCAAGTATGAGATAGGGAAAATTAAGGATTAACTATTAAAGAAAAACAACAGTTCACGTACAAAGATTACACAAAATCTTACAAATAATAAAGTTCAAAATTATGTTGCAGATACCCTAAAATGACAACCGGTCATCACTAAATAGGTCCGTATCTTCATTTTTCCCAATAACTAGTCCTATGTGCTTCCTCACCTTTTGACAAGACTCATCAAATGTTGGAAAAGGGTGGAAAAGTACAAGTCCTTGGAAAGTCAAAAAAACAAGAGGGAGAAGAGGAGATATGAGTAAGAAATAGAGTAAAATAGATGCAATGTTTACATTTACAATACTTTGAAGCAAATCTGGAAGAGGGATGTTAAGATTACTAAAGCTGAAATGTAAAATGTGTTTAAGAAAAGGTTAAATTCAACAATCATGATGAAAAAGAAAGTAGAGAGGAGGAGATGTAAGATAGAAATAGAGCAAAATGGATGCAATTTTTACATTTAAAATAATTTGGTTTAGTTTTACCATTTTGAAGTTCAGGGGTTCGTTTTTTTTGTTCATTTTTTTAGAGTTTGAGGGTAACTTTTACACTTGAAAGTTTAGAGGTGCAATTGTTACAACCACCATACTTTGGAGGTGGTTTCTTCCACTTGCCCTTAAGTTTACTATTCTCTTATCCTTATTTGTTAAGGAATTGCCCTGTACTTTCTTCAGACTTCTCAAACTACCCTCTAGAATGGCTGGTGGAACACATCATGTCACTACATCAGAAACTACACATTCCACAGTTTTTGCAATGTCTGTCTCGCTTTAAGCACATTAGAAACAACCATTTATCTTTTCCTCAGAAAATAATCTGTTGGCTAATATTCGACTTTTCGCCTCCCCCTCCCCCTCCCCCCCCCCCCCCCC